GAGATTCACACAGCTATCTAATAACAATAAAAGTAACCCTCCTATGCCGCCCTGCCTGCAGTGGTCCAACAGACCATCAAACACTCCGTCAAGCCACGTCTAATATTATATGCGTACACTCTGACAGAGGCTTCATCTTAACTCATCCTCTTATATATACACTGTGTTAATAGAAAGTGACACTGATGAAAGCAGTAGTAACTTCTTACCACATGTAAGAGATTTTTTGAAGAAAACATTTCAGAGACTTATATTTGCTGGACAGAAGTAGAAAATAAGAAAATAATATTAAAGAAGCCACTACCACATTCCACTTCTACCTTCTTATGGTTTGCCCAAATAAAGTAACAACTGTATCAAAATATTCACACCCCAAATCTAACCACAAGCACAAGCCTATCAAGTACAAACTCATGAGTGAGGACTAATACAGTTGCAAAGAAGAATTCAAATATTTAGATGAATGGGCAAAGTGAAAACTCAGCTGCTCACGAAAGCTGCAAGAAAATGGCTTTACCATGGAGAGCCTGGGTGGTGCTGGCTGAGCCCATCCTGAATGTCTCCTCTGCACTACTCAAAAACTAAGCCCTCCTGCACCATTTTGCACTGATTTCTAGACCACCCACTCAGATGTGGACACACAAACCACATGTCCCGGAATGTCTGCCCTGCACCAAAAGCAGTGATAGTATTGTGACCTCATTATTTGTGCAGCAAGGCTTTTAATACAACTGATTTGCTTTACCTTTTGAGTACCTTTGATTCTTTAATGGTTTGTATGCAGTCTGTCTACTGACCTTTAGATGCTTAAGGATTTGAAATGGGAATATGGCCACTGGGAAAAAAACCAAACCAAACACCATTATCAGAGTGAAAGTATTTTTAGCAGATTTTTTCCTCACCTTTTCCTCCCCACAAGAAATAAGCTTTATTTCTTGGTCTTTTTAAAAAGATGTAACTGACAGCTTCACAGACCTACTGTTTCCTAAAAAGGGCTCGGACCCTGAATTCTGTTCCCAGAATTATAATGGTAATCATTTATTCCTCACTGTGATGAGAAGGGAAAAGTTTTCTAATGAAAATTGTAGCTTTATAGCATCAGTTGTCTGAAAGAACATAGGAAAATGACTCATTTGATGTAACATTCAAGGAAAAGGTTACTTCTAGTCAGAATTATACTGATGACAAAAATATATCTTTTGCTGTATTCACAGACCTACATTTGACTTTGCTCATATTTCCAGACTGGGAAAATTAAATGAAGAATGAAAAATGCAAGATCATAATTCTGCAGCAGAATCAGTCCAACTGACGTAAAATACAGAATTTAAGTAAGCATCGATATTCAAATACATGTTAAACAGAAATTAGCATCTCAAATAGTAAGACAGCTTAAAAGTTCATATGATGCTGCAACACAACTCTCATCAAGTCAGCAACAACACAGTCATTAGAGCAGTGAACCAAAGAAGCAGCCATTCTGCAAGCAGTCACGATTACCTTACAGCAGGCAGAACTGCTGACCAGCAAACAGTATTGTCTATGTTAACATAAGGACCACATGCAGCTCGTAAGGAATCTCTTTACTAATTTTTTTTCCCAGTCTTGTTCCTGTACCCCATCCTGTCCCTCCACAAGGGTATTGTTCTCGCTGTGGCAATACTTCTTTCCTATCTAGTCACAGCTGCATTTCTTGCTATTCAAATAAATGCAAGGCTCTTATGTGATTGTGCTTTGATGTTTATTTATCTGCTCAGACACAAGAGCCAGCCTTGTAAATGTCATTGCTTTAGTTGTGTTAATGCACTGATTAACTCCTAAGCACACACAAAAGCACTGCAGATATATGAGTTTTAGTCCCCATCATCTGTTCATAAGCCTTTTATGCTCAACAGTAAAGTTTCTTGGTACAGTATACAAAATAGGTTCCTGATATACACTACATTCTGCTGTATGCTGCTTAACAGTTAAGAAAACTAATGAGGCTCATAAAAACACATGCCCTGCACTTGTTAAACTTTGGAACATGCTTTACACTGCTTATTTTTGCAGTTTCTGCTAGCTCCTACTGCAGCTGAAACTCTTGACAGAATTTTCACCATGAGTCTCAATTTCAGTGCACTGCACTACAACAAACTCTGCACACCAATGGACCAATAAGCAAACATAAAAACAACCTATTCCTCTATCGACTGAAATAACAGTTTGCTAAAAGATACACTGCTTGCCATTAAACAGCCAGTAGTAAAAGACAGGATATGAAGTGCATGAAAAGAACAACAGTATAAGGCAAATCAAATACCCTACCATTAGTGCTCGTAGTAAAATAATGCATACAGCAACTGAACAGGGCAGTTAATTTTGCAAAATAGGTAATGAGGCTTGAAATCCACAGGTCATTCAAGAGGCCACGAAACACTAGTATAGCTCCTAAGAAAACAAGATGATACTTACCGGGAACATAAACCAGATAGTGAACATACTTTATTTCATTGTGAGAATGAGAAAGGACAGCAGATCAGGCAAAACCCTAGAACTACTGGGCTCTCCAAATGCACTGTACTGTGCATACACTACTTCAAAAGTGTAGACTTCACCTAAAAACACCCAACGAAATAGAAGAAAAACAGTCAACTATTTCTTATGATCCAAAAGCTGAAGATGGGTTTTCTTTTACCTTGGAAGACTCTCCTCACTCCCTCCTTTCTGTGGACTAAGATGGCCTTTAAATTTAGATGATAATGAAATTTCTGTAAAGCCTCCCAATTGATTGAAATTTCTAAAAAGATATTAAAACTTGTCTACCCAACTGGACATCACTTTCTGAGATCAAAAGTTAAGTGGCAAGATGGAAACTGTCCTTACTATTAGACACAAACACTGTTTGAGTAACAGTGACTCACTTATGCTGAAAATGATTTAGCTATGGCAATTTACTGCTAACCTGGCTAGTCCACTCAATGAAATAATCCAAATTCCACAACTGTTTTAAACAGCTTGATATTAAGTCAAACTCCTAAACATTTACTATCCAAACAATTTAATCCAACCCAAAGATCAGTGCCTATATACATGAAAGACTTGAAATGGTATCTCACTACTTTTAAGAGAAATATGAATGTCTGAAATTGAGTGAACAAGGATTTATTTTGGTTTTGCATACAAAATTAGATGAAAATAGCTGTATTTTAAAATTGAGATCAACACTTAGTAACTATCAGAATTTCATGAAAAAGTCAACACACACACCACTGCAGTCTATCTTCTTCCCTTTCCCACTGAATTATAAAATTTTAGAGTTTAAGTATGATCCACAATTTGCACGAATTTCAGCAGTAACTGATGCTGTAATTGATGTCATCTCCCTTTCACGCCTATTCTGCTACTTGCTGTTTTCTTCCACCCTAGATCTCGGTGTATAATAAAGCTTATCTGTTATTTCATGGATTACATTATTCATTTCATCATTTCTAAAGAAACAGTGTAGTCATACAAGAAGCATAACTGGATTCTTCCCCTCCTGAAACTCAGTGAGTTTCTACCACAAAGCTTAGTGTAAAAAATCAAAATGGACAAATTTCCGTATGTATCTGATACAACTAAAAGACAAGAAGTTGAACACACACTAGTAGACCAAATGTCTTAAGGTTGCTTTTACATTTCCAAACATTCCATAGAAAACAATCAATAAAAATTGAAGTTTATCCCCTTCACATGCACCCCTATGCCGACCCCATCATCACCTTCTTTATGTCAAAAGTAAGTTCTGAATTACACTTCAACTCCCCTCCCCACCACCAATTGCACATTAAGACATGGACTTAGAAGAACAAAACATTTCAAGTATGCTTCATGCCAATCATCAATAAGAGTCATAACATTACTGAAAAAGTACACTTAATTCTTGCGAAGCCTGAAAAGGACTTCCTGTGGAGTGTGGTAAGACATTTTAAATAAAAAAGTTCCCCAACCCAGTTTGTATCCCACCCTCTCAAAAAGAGTAAAGTGTAAAATTTTCTTTGGACTTAAAGAAACACTATTAGGATTTACCATCTTAATAAGAAATAACCCCAAAAGAAATTCAGTTTTACAGTGCTGCACAGACCATGTGCATGAAACAGGAACTCATACAGATACTGTGTTTAGCTCTACCCATACAGACTACATGTGGCATATAAGCATACACACGACGTACTGGCCTGTCCAGAAACAAGATACATTTTTAAGGCTAATAAACCTGAATAAATCTTTGCATCCAGAAGTATTTTTTAAAATTGTCTTCCCTGTTCATTGGGAAAACTGAACTCCCAAGAGAAGGGTGATCATTTCATCAAGAAAGCGTGGAGGTTTAATGTGAAACTGCGTACACATGCTCTCTTTTTATCATGCATAAACAGGGATTCTGATTTTTAAGGAATAATGGATGGCATGAAAGAATACTCATTTCTATAGACAAGAAATCCTTCTGGAAACACAAGCAGGTTACTGAACAAATACCAAAATCTGGAAAGTGTAAAAAGCATATATGCATATGTGCATATGTGTGTATGTATATATATATATGCAGGTGCATGTCTACGTGTATACACACACACACATATATGCAATATACCATGTATTTATTCCAACATGTAACCGTATAATTTTTTTTCAAAGTATTTTAATTTAGAAGTTGTAAAAATCCCCAGCAAAATCAGAAACAAAACCTCAGAACAAAGTAAGCAGACTATATACTGTATGAGCAAACAAAAAAGTTATGCAAATAATTTTACGGTATAAGTGAGTCACACACTGGCAGCAGAGGAGTGCTGAAACTCAAAGTAATAAATAGCTGCAAATTAAGAATTCTCTACATCTCCTTAGAGACAGGACCAGTATTTCTTCTTTTATAATGATCCTGTAGAACACCTTCACTCATATATATTTAATTTTATAACATTAAATCAGACACAAGAATGTAGGCTGCAAAAGCTGCTGGATTCAGGACAGTATACATAACATTTTTTGTTAAAAGTCCTACTGGTTTATTTACTAAGGCTAGACAGCAAGTCATATAATCCTATTTGGTGCACTTCCTACCGTGGTGAAGATCAATAAATGGATAGAACCAAGGACCTGCAGTCCAACTGACTGTGTTCCAACCCACTGTGGCAGAGAAGCAACAAATATAGGATTACTGTTTGATCCCCAACTTTGTATCTTGTTTCCTGGAACTGCAGAAGTGGAAACAAGATTGTAGTGCTTTTAGAGACTAGAGAAAGATTGCAAGAAGTGGCTTTTTAACCTAAGATTACTAAGCTTCTGATAGTACTGCATCAAAAGAGCTCACATGGGGCTTCACTACTTGCAACATCTGGTAGTACCATTCAGTGACTCATTAACTTTACAATACATGTATGCAGTAATAAATAGATCAGTTACGTAATAAGGCAGTGTGTTGAACATGCATTCATCTTGTGGACTGGAACACCACAGAGAGAGATACATGATACCATACACATTCATTAAGACCAAGTACTTTTGTTTGGTTTTGTGTATTTGTTTTTCAAGGCTACCCAGGCAAACTCTTCTGGAACATTTTCTTCTTGAGAAGAGTGGTCCTCTGAGTCTTGTCACATTTCTTCTCCCTTATCAACAGACGATCACTGGCTTTAAGTAAAAATAAAGCTGAAGAGGGTTGTTTTCTTCCCCCACCCCCATTTTGGTTGCATCATTCTGAATGTGTCATTTAAAGAACAGGCTCTGATGCAGAAAGACGCTGAATCTTCAGGGGGTTCCACATGTTTCCAGATAACTCTGTAGTTTACGGACTGTGGTTCTGTCCAGTGAGCAAAGATCAAAGTCAAAAGTTGTATTTGTGATATGAAAGTGTCCAGTTTCTTCTATAAGATTCACTATCTGAAAGGAAAGATGCAGTTGACAATTTCAGCAGCTTTACATGCCCACTCAGTGTATTCATATGGCATTACGAATCATATGAAAGGCATAAAATAAGCCAAACCGCCCCACGACTTGCTCGTTAAACCATTATACTTATCACTCACTTCCTTTCTGACACAAACTACGGTTAAGATTACTACAGTTCCTTAGGTTAAAAAAAAATCTGAGTATTTTCTAAGTCTTAATAATTCAAGTCTTTAAAAAAAAAAAAAAAAAAAAAGGAACAAAAAGCACAACATCCCCTCCTCTCCAGTCCCAAACAAATTAAAAATCCAGGGTAAATCTCTGCTGTCTGGCACATCTGTGTGCATAGCTGCTAAGCAGGTTACTCTACAAAATATTTGGTATAAGCCTTTCTGCAAGCAAGCGAAAGAAATAAATCCTTATTGAATCTGGTCTGTATCAAATAAAAATTGTACTCAAGAGCTCTCACATCAACAGTTGAGATATCAGCAGCTATTTCTTGAGTGACAGACATACATAATTTAAAAAAAAACCAAATTGATCATGAAATAATCGTACAAATGGCATAAGATCACTTCTTGTGTCAAGTATTTAATAATATATATCACAGCTATCACTCAAACAGGGAACAGAAGAGCTGCTGTGAGTTCTTGAAAGAATAGGGACTAAACCATCTCTCCTATGCAGAGAGGCTGAGAGGGCTGGGATTCTTCAACCTGGAGAATAGAAGGCTCAGGGTGGATTTTATCAGTGGATACAAATACTTGAAGGGGGGGTGTAAAGGAGATGGACCCAGGCACTTTCCGGTGGTGCCCAGTGATAGGACCAGGGACAGCAGACAGCAACTGAAATGCAGAAGATTCTCTCTGAAACACTTTTTTTCCTGTGAAGGTGACCAAGTGTTGGCACAGGCTGCCCAGGGAGACAGCAGAGTTCCCATCCTCTGAGATACTGAAAAGCCATCTGACACAGTCCTAGGCAACCACCTCTATGTGTCCTTGCTGTCAGACCATTTAGCTTCCAGTGGTCCCTAAAAACTTTAACCATTCTATGATCATGTAAAATCAACAGGACATATCTAACTTGTGCTTTTCTGCAGTTTTGGTATTTTCAGTGTCTGAAATGTAGTTCACATTTTTACAGTGGTCATACTCAATACCATTTTGTTGTAACAAGTAACTGCAGATGGTTCTAGGATGTGCACCTAATTAAAATACCCATTCAGCATCTTGGAAAGCCAAAGCATTATTTGTCAGATGGGGTTAATAGTGCCAGCACACTATGGCTATGAATCTCCTACGTGCTGTTTCATGTCAAGAGACAGACATTCCAAAGGAGCACACAGAAAGTTACCCCACCCTGAAGTGGGTCTCTGGCTAGTGTCGTGGACTGACAGAACATTGTTCTGCTCAAGTCTTTCCAACCATCCCTTCTGTGGCACCCAGGCTCGGCTCAACATCCTGTTTGCACCCTTCAATTTGAAGCCCATTTAGTTGTAGAGCTTCCAAACGTATCTCCACTGAAACGTTGCTGCTAGATATTCCTTGCTTATTTGAGCTTTGTTACACTAAGTGTAATTCCTTTTCCATAGCTGGAGGAGATACAGATATATGCCCACATATATCTGCATTACACAGCACACCTTAAGTGATAAATCTGTTAGGATTACACTAAAAAGAAAAAATAATTTAAACTAAAATTTTGTAATTCTCTGCTCCCCATTTCATTTTATAAATAGATGTTTTTTCTCTTTTGACCACAGAAGTAAAGATCATGTTGATAAACAAAGTAACTTCATGTCTATTGTCAGGCAGAGAACGACAATTCTGTTTCATCTACCCAGTCCACAATGGATTAAACAGAATGGAAACAAGATAAAATACTAAGAAGGAAATGCCTGTTCCAGTAAAAATCCCCCTTCTCAATCACCTTCCATTTTCCAGGTTGGAGAAAAAAAACACCCAAAATACCCCTGTTTAATTTGGTTTGCAGCTGTCCAAAATTCTGAAAGTACTTAGGAACAATCCTTCTGTTATTAACACTTCATTTAAATCTGTGCTCTTGGCTTTAAATTTTTTCCATATGGGAATTTTTCATCTGTGATTGTCACCTCCATTTGTCTACTTGTTGATTCGCAGATTCTTGTAACACTTTTACATCTCCTACTGTTCTACAACTAACAGAGGAGGAAAAAAAAAATCAAATGGGACAAAACTGATTGTTAAATGGTTGCACGAGAAGTTTACAGAATCTGAGGCCAAGAAGATGAACAATTCTGTCCAATGCTTCCTCGTGTTATAGTGGAAGAATACCACTCCTCCTCACCCCTACAGCAAAACACCGCTTTTAGAAACAAGTATTACATAAAGGTATTAACGCATGTATTTTTAAACAACACTATATTATTTTTTAAAAATAAGTATATTTTAAAAAATTGATAGAGACGTCTATTGATCATGTTCTGCTTCAGGCTTCTAATCTTTAAGTCAAGGGAAATATAAACGTTTTAAACATATCACTCAACCAGCCTTCAAGAAATACAGCCAGTAAATACAGAAATATAACCTGGTAAATCAGACTGCAATAAACCCCAACAGCTTTAATGAATGTGCAAAAATTTATCAAGATAAACCCAGACAGCTCAAGGAAGAACACCTGCCTGTCAATGAGGAATTCATGACTTAAGAGTATTTAGCGTACGCATCTTGATGCTATTCAAAAATACTTGAAAAAGAGTAGAAGATTAGTTGCCAGGAAGTCTGACAGTTATAGTATTAAAACCAAAGCATTAAAATGTTTTATTCTAAGAGCTCAGGTTGCAAAGAACAAAAATATCCCATTTGTTCCTGCTGTAGTAAGCTTTGCTTTTCTGCTGTAATGTACATTCCTGTTTATATAATGTCTTCCTAGCTCAGTTGCATCATTATCCATCATAGTAAAACTATTTATTTGGCTTTAAACAAGCAAATGAGTATGTTTGTTTCATGAAGCCAAAGTGCAACTAATGACGTAATTTTTCAATTTATGGAGGGCTTTAGGCCATGTGGTTTCCAGACCTGCAAGCTGCCCCTTGCAGAAAAGTCTGACAACAGTTGATACCTGAAGGTAAGCAATTTTTGGACATGAGAAACGTGATTTTCAGCAGTGCTGCATATCCTCAATTTTTCCCTCATGCCTTTCCTGTCTAGTTCACCAGCTTTAACAAGATTTCTCACCAGCTGAAAATGTGACTTCTGACATCTCAAAGTAAGAGGCAAAGTCTTAACAAAAATCTTGTTGCCTTTCATAGGGTCACACTAAGATCATCTGCACTGAAAATGCAGACTTCAGAACCTAGCTTTAGCCAGCCAAATTTGAATATATGGGACATGCAGCATGAATATCTGATTGCAGATTCAGTTATCCCTACTATTTCACTGGAAATCAGAGTCAAGAGGGAAAAAAAAAATAATCTCATAACTGTAAAACCTAACCCCTCTCTTTACATGAAAGAAGTGGGAGAGAGATTTCTTTTTATAATGTGATTTCAGACCAATTACCGTCTAGCCATGGTGCAATATTCACATAAAAATTGCTCAAGTGATTCTCACAGGAATAATTTCTTGGTCAAATTTCTTTCTCACCGTCCTTGGTCAGTTCTTATATAAGCATCATTTTACATCAGGATTACTCAGCTACATATCCAGGTACCTGCAGTTCACTATCACACCTCTCCTGCATCCTCCCTCTTTTTTTGCAGATTTATTTCAGCTTCCTTTAACAAAATGCCTCAAAGAGAAATGCCTCCCTTGGGAAAGAGACGCATTCTCAGATACACTTTTCTCACTTCCAACTTGGCTGCATTCCTATTTGCTGTCATGCCTATGGACCCAGTAACAACTAAGACTGCAAAAACCTGTCCTCTCTTTTTCACATCCCTCAGCTTAAGGTTTGAAAGCTAGTGCTTTCGAGTAATCAGGGCCTTCATTCTCCTCTTGCAATTTTCTTGCGTTGCTCAAGATATTTGAAATTCCCCAAGAGTCTGTGGGTAGCAGACTCTGACATGTGACATGTCTGCCCTGACATGAACTAAAGAGCTTATATCGCCACTCAGGAACACACAACTCAACCACCACTCCATTCCAACACTGCCACCACCACCATCTTTAAAACTCTTGAAGATATTTACAGTTTTCTGTTGCATACTTTTGCACTCAATCCCTCTTCTCATGTAGTGGCCACCATATCTTTATGCAGTTTTATTCCTTGCTCCCCTGACCTTTGTACTTCCCATAGTTTCAGGTACACTACGTACCTGTACATCTTTGGTCTAGAAGCTTCACAGTCATTCCTAAAAACTCTCTCAGTTCTGTACTCTCTTTATTTCTGCGCTCACCGGAAACAGTTACATTACTTAAATAGCTGCAAAGCAGTAAGGACAATTAAGCTGAGATGACAGTTTATTTGTAATGCAGAGAAGCACTGATTCGGCACAAGTTATCCCTTCAATATTCTGAATGTATATCTGTAATTGATAAATTTGTATGAACTAATGAGTCGCAGAATATTAAGCGATTAAAGGCTTTAACTAAACTGCATTATTTAATAACAAAGTAGAGCATTTGCTAGTACCGTCTAACAGACAACTGGTCAGTATCTTGGCTCTTCCACTGCATTCTGGAAGATGTCTGTAGACAGTTTTACAGTTACCAGCTACCAGCACAGAACTGCACCACTGTTCTAGCCTGCACCATCCAGCCATAAATTCAGCTTTCACTAGGGCTGTATCGACAACATGTACACACCAGCCTGCTAGGCCTAGTCCCTGCCCACAGCAGGCTCAGCCATAAGGTTGGATCAGCCTGCTCCAGGCTTACCCAATCATGATTTTAAAAGCTTTAACAATGGAGACAGCATAGTCTCTTCAGAACTCTGTTCCACTGCTAGATAACCTTTGCGGGGGGGGGGAAGTGGTGTTTTTGCCTTTTTTGTTTAAATCTTTGCATAAGAGGTTGAGAGGGTGTTTTTCAAAATTTCACATGAAGTCACCTAAGCCCTGTGCTCTGCTGATACAGCCCCAGTGAAAACTGAATTTATGGTTGGATAGGGCAGGCTAGGAGGGTGGTGCAGCTCTCTACTGATGGCTTGTAACTGTGCAATACTGACTACAGGACTACCAGAAGTAAAACCATTCAAAAGCTATGCCTTGGATAAATGGGGAAGTAAGCACTGAGGAAGCACGTCCTAGCTAGCTGCTAGCGTGTGAACTTACAATACAATGGCTTTTACAGATTCACTTTTTATGTGAACTAAGAACTAATCAATAATGTGAAGTGGATAGGGTGCTGAAATTCCTACCTTTTTTCCTGCACAGTAATTTCCTGTACATAAAAATGCATCGTGTATTGTAACTTATGAAATCTAATAACGCTACTGGTATCCCTCTTTAAGTAAGAATATCCTTAACCTCTTCCTTTTCACTGACCTTTCAATGTTTTTTTTCGCCTTTACCCACAATATTGAGCCTGAACTAATAAACAGATTAATGCTGTGGCATGCAAAATATTTTACCACACCTGGATAAGCAGTGAGAAATTTTATGACTGCAATCATTCAGAAGTGGTAAATATTTCCTTTTTTACAGCATGTTCACAACAGCCACAAAATTGCACTAAACATAATAAAAGCATCTGTTTTCCTAACAGTGACATCTGCCTAACAATTTCTTAACAATTGCATCAGCTTTCTTAGCAGTGCTTATTGTTTAATCTTCAGTTTGTAATCCAACAGTACCTGCCAATGGCAACCAAAGAATAGTATTTTATTCTTACTTTTGCACAACTTTTCAATAAATTTTGAGCCTTCTTAGTTTGCACTTGTTCATATTTTACTTGTTCCGTGACTTCAAAAGACCCAGTGAATACAATGTGGTTTTCCCCCAAATGAGTTTTGCTTTGAATCCCATGTTTTCTGTTTGTCATAGAAAACATCTTTAATTATTTCTGAGAAAATGATGGTCACTTTCAGGAAAAAGCAGTAATATTTTTATCAGGTCATAGTGCACAGCTGTATATATTCTCTCATCTTGTTTTGATAATTATTGATATAGTCTGTTGAGAACTGGTGAAAACTTTAGCTCAGGCATTTTTCCTATTTGTTATTCAGTGTGACAACACAATTTAAAGCATGTGTAAAAATTCTCTAAGCTACACTCAAAGTGGTAATGGGCTGTATATGGATTATAAAGGCTTGAAGGCTATTAAATCTGATTACAGAATTTTAGATGAAGGCAAAAAAAAAATGATGTGACTTCACTACTTCAACGAGTACACTGTGATACTACATGAGAGAGCTTCTCACCTGCTGCAGTACGTGTCTCTCTCTCAAAGTCATTAATCTTCTGTGGAGTTCTACTAGTTCATCAAGATATGCCTAGAAAGAAGTCCCCCCCCATAAACAACTCGTTAATTAAGTCATAGTTACATATTTAAAAAACTTCACAAAGCACAAATGGAAATTTTATTTTGAATCTTGTTAAGAGTTAAATTTTCATGTTTAGTAGTCTGACTTACTCTAGCATAACACAACCCAAATATAAGTTTTTATGGGTTTGCTTAGGCTTTTCATGACAATGAAAATCTTATCATGCGGTCCTTTGCTGTACAAGATAATGCCTATATCTCAGCTGTGGCAAAAAGTGTCAAACAGACTGGGGATGCTAAAACAGCATCTTTAAAAAACATCTCCCACCTTTTCACATAAGACCCAAACTCAAAAAGGCTTACAATTAAATCCCTCATTTTCTCTAAACTATGCAATTAATCTTCTGTGTCAACAAGATGTAAGGAGAAAAATATCAAGCATGATTAGTTCAAAGGCAAATTCCACTGTCCTCCCTCCTGGGATGCCAAGCATGTTCCACCTCTCCATCCAGTTATCAGCTTTCTCCTTCAGCCTGAGCCTTAAGAAACCTTTTTTTCTTTTAAGCAGAGAGAGATATGGCACCCAGCTTAAGAAACCAAAAAGCGTATGGACCACACCACTGAAAATTTAGCAACAGATGCTGAAAATTTCACTGCCTGCCACAAGTTATCACAAAGTTGACATCAATACCTGTAAAATATGAACCTTCAGAGAAATTCATCCACACTGGGAAACTGTGCTATGTTCACTCACACAAGGACTTAGAGCTCTTACCTATGGCCTGCTGAAATTATCTTAAATAAAATGGTCTTTCTCAATGTTAAATGGTAAATCTTGCTTCATGTTATTTCTAACTAACTTGCTAAATCACACTGCCACTTCCTAATGCACAGCTTTCAGAAATGATACATGGAAAATATACCTTTTTAATTTGAACTGATTGATTTATTGCCTAGGAATAGACCTGTGAATTCTTCTCTTTAAAAACTTCGCTGTGAAGCACAATGCAAACTCATGGTGTAGAGTAGATAAATAATAGGTGGCGGATTCCCAAGTAGCGACATTTGCCAAATCACCACATGTATTGAAGAGGAAAAAAATACTTTCAAAATAGCACAGAAGAAGAAAGAATTACAATGGCAAAAAAAAAAAAAGGAAAAAAAAAAAAAGAAGAGAGAAAGATCTGCACGTAAGGGAACCCAAAGCGAAGATGTACTAAGAATTTAATTCTGTAACAAGGGCTGGTGCTTAGTAAATACATTAGTATCATGTTCTGGACTAGTTTACTATTACCTAATTCTCATTTACCTTATCACAATCCCCATTCTTTATTTGTTTATCAGATTTGTTTGGCTTCATTGGACTTTTCACTTCTAAAATCTGGAAAAGAAAGAAAACTGTAAAATTTAAATGCACCATTGGACACTGTTACATATGAAATATTCTGCTACAAGTTAATAATGCAAAGACTGTAACATTTTTCTGGAGAAAATGTAATCAAACCTCAAAGCTAAGCTTTTCATTCTTTAATCTATAAAACCTGCTCACATTTTTCAGAAAAAAAACAGCTTACAATAGAAAATGATGAGTTGCTGGAATGAAGTGATAATGATGTTATCAGTCCTTAAAAGAATTAGAATTAATTTCATTTAAAGCCTCCTCAACACTTCTTTGTATCTTTTGCATGCTGGTAAGGTAAGAGGTCTGATTTTACAGATACAAAATGACACTGAGGGACTCTCCAATGCCTTTCAAATTAATGCTCTGTATATTTTTCCTATTCCCTTCCCCCTCCCCCCCAATGCTGCCTCTTTTCTTCTACAACAGAGGTTTTGAAACAGTGTTTGACATGACTGCATGACTTCTAACAGAGAAGAAAAAAAAAAGTAGTGTTTGATGGTAATCTCTCTTACACTCATATGGTACCCTTCTTGGCCATTTACTACCATAAACACAAACCAAGAATCCTCTATCCCGCCTTGAACCACAGTCAAGAACTGCATGTCAACAAGCAGCAGAAAACCATGCTTAAATCGAACATTTTAGGACTAAAGTGAGGAATACTTGGGGGAAATAAAAACTGTTGATTGTTCTTCCCTGGAATATGATCATCAAAGGAAAATAAATGATCACAGACGATGGGAGATTTTGTTTCACATTTCACTGTAAGACTAGCATCACCAGCATGATTATCTCCAAAACCACACTGGACAGTCACAACACAGGACAAAACTCAGCAAATAAAATGAGGAAGTCTGTAAAAGCAAGTGTCCCAGATTAGCAAGACGACTCACTGTCAGCTTTCTGTGAGCTCCCTCTCATTCCTAATTCTCCTGACTAAACTTGCATACATGGTCCCTAGGATGACCAGCACCATCAAAATACAACAGGAAGGCAGCTATTTCCCTATATAGAGAAAGTGACTGCAAATTTGAGTTAAACTTACGTAAGGATTCACTTAAAGAGCGATTCATGACCAGAAAGCAAAACATACATTTACGAAGAAAAAGACCATTTCTTCAGTTCAACACTCCCTGGAGTTACTAATGTGTAGGTCAGAGGAAGAACAAGTCTTCCTTAAAAAAAACAAAACCCAAAAAACCCCACAAAACCAAAACCAACAAAAAACCAAAACCCATAGCTTAAGGCATGGATCCAGTAACTTCTAGCTGATTTTCTTGTTTTTAAAAGAAGAAAATTCTTGGCTTCAAATAGAACCTCAGCAACAAGACAGTGCACTTGAAAAAGCTGCTTCCTGACAGTGCTCTAGATGTGTAGTGAAAATCTAACACCTTAAGCTCTCTTGTTAAAATGTGGCACAGCACTAATTGCATCTGAGGAAGGTTAAAGAAATCTTGTACAGCTTTTTAGTTCTGTGAACAGACTTAGTCAATAAAAGGCTGATTTCATCAGTCAAAGTCATCATCTTGACAAGCAGCACTATGTTACCATTCAAAGACTTAAAATGTGGCTAGTCCGTACAACCTGAATTCTCACAATCCTCCCCTAAATCTCTGATTTCCAATTCAGTTCCAAAATTCAGCTCAAGTACAAAAATAGAGGAAGGAATGCAACTTTCAGTTTTAGCTGGCACACTGCTACTATGCAGTCTAAATGCACAAGTAGACCTATCAGATCACCAAAGGGGAAAGGGACATGACAGATGTGACTGACTGGGCTTTTGATATTGAGACTCATGCTGATAGTGATGTAAAAAATATTGTGTCTTCTAGTGAAGTACAAAATATTTATCTTCTAGATAAACACTGCACTGGTGGAAGAGAGGGGAAGAGAAGAATGAATGAACTCCTGAGAATGAGCCTATTGATGTGAACTGTGTTTACTGCTAATACAATCCCAAACTTGTATAACTGATGCTGTAAAGGTAGTTTGCACTGTTTACCTTACAAAGCTAACTCATACCAAAAGGCCACATCTTAAAATACTGATGAAAACATTACTTTGCTCTATAGTATTTGCTAGACAAATCTCTTCTCCTGGAAAAAAACAAAACCAAAAAGCTCTTATGTCAATTTAAATACTAAGTAAGTGCACTGAAGCAATCAGAATGTAATTAGCAGCTCCCCAGAACTTCATTTACAAATCCTGACTTTACCTGGTTGTTGTTGGTTTTTAGTAAAGGTGGTGCTGGTTCATGATGTAGACGAGAGGAAGCTGAACTGCTCTCACTGTCACTGCCATCACTCAGACTAACCCTATGGAAAACAGAGCCAAGACATTACACCTCTGGACAAAGGGCTGTTAACTGAGCTTCACTGAGGTAGGACACTAAGAATGACCCCTCACTAAGCAAGCCATCATTAATCAAGGTCATGTGGAAGACAGGCATCCAAGCAGGGCCGCACTCTGAAAAAAAGCTCTGTGTTGCATGAAGAACAAGGCTGTCTGCCTGTGCTTGGCTAAGATGACATGTCAGTTAACAGCAGCTAGCGTTACAGAAACAGTTAAATATTTAGACTATTAAACTGCTGTCCCAAACATTCCTGGATTGAGTCTGTATCTTGGTTCATAGCCCTATTACTTTTTTGCTCTTCTAAAACCTTTCTAAACAGCCGTAGTTCTTCCTTGGACATGTGTTTCACTGAAAAGTTCCTTGTTTCTCATCACAAAAAGCACTCATTTTAGAATACAGAAACTTAGTCCTGGAACAGAGATCACATAAAAATGCTTAGCTCCTTGTCAGTCTCACACTTCATTTACTTAGGAACAACAGGGAATATTTATTTATTGGAAAAAAAAAAGTTGTTATTTGGAATAGAAAGAAGCTAGAGAAATATTAAGACTTAAGTTTTGTGTAAAAACCTGAAACAGAATCTCCACACAAGTCAAGTTTAAGACTTGTTATATAATCTGACACAAAATACACAAACTGACACAAATTCTCAAACTGCCAGTCATCTTGGTTGTCTTGTCCTTGATTCTAGCTGCTGAAGTGTACCAAGAAGAAAGCTAACATTCATTAATGTTTTCTTATCACTTTCCCACTTAAGCAGTAGCTGACACATGCACTCAAACCATGTGCATTCACAGCTAAATCCTGTGGCTCAGATAAAGAACACGCTATGAAAAGGTTTGAGAGACCTTCATTATTTTCCAGAATCTTTAACAACATTCAGATGAAGCTTCAAGATGCCCAAGGAATAAAGGGGTTTTGGAACACCCTTGTAAGGTTGCTGCCAAGACACAGAAGCTTTTTTCAAAAAGCAATTTCTGTGACAGATGCCTGCTTTACCTTCTATCTGCACTTCTACATGACATACTGCATGCAGTGCACAAATTAGTTAAAATTCAGATTTCATTGATTCTGATCTAATTTAACAACCTAATCTAAAACTGTAAGCAGAGAAATATTGAAAATGAGAAACTATGTACAGTATAGCTCATCCAGCAATTAAAGTACTTAATTTTATCTCATTTATGTCAGAAAGTAATTTACGCCATCCTCTTAAGTCACAATGGCATGAATCAAGGAAAGTCAAATGAATAAGGACCATCATAACCACACGGATTAGTACAGAAACAGTTTGCATTGGGAATGGCTAATTCTGTGAGCTTTTAGAAGAGGCACTTTTACATGCATATGTTTTAAAAAGAAAGTCTAAATTCTCTGCCCATTTGCTGCTGTGCTGTTAGAAATCGTAAGACCTCACCTTACTACCAACAAGCATAATGACTTGGCCACTAGGCTACTTGCAATCACAACACTCACTTTCGACTCCTGCTTCCTCCTCGGGCATTTACAGGTCGTTCAAACTCAGAATCATTGTCGTTCTCATCTGCTTCATCCGATTCATCTTCATTATCATCTGAATGCAGATCTTTCATTATAGACCTCAAGGGACCTGAAACTACAGAAACAAAACACTTAAGTTCAGTTTTCAGTGTTCCAGGCAACTGACCCAGTTTTGCAGATAACTGAAAACTACCCTCCCACACAGTGTTGGGAGGGGAGAATCTTAAACATTAAACAAATTAAGTAATGCCCTGGGGGCTTATGCTGTAGGGACTTATCCATGAAGCATTTACTCACATTAGCAACTCTACAGTCAGCTTCAACAGATTTACTCATGACAGTGAAGTGACTCCTATGTTCATGCATTTGGCGCCCAAGATGACAGCTGAAGTAAGTAAAATACTGTCATGCCTGAAGGAATTGACTATTATTCCATTATTATTAGAAGCAAGATTCTTTCGCATTGCTGCGTTTTACTGGGTTTTGTCTTTTCAAATGATATGATATGCAAGCAAAGATCTACAAGGACACAGCCATCAGTAATAGCACACTTACTAGGTTAATCCATGTACTGAGAAACAGAGTCTAACAAATCATTCTGATTGGTACTGGACAAGGCAGTATTTACCTTCTTGGTTTTTTACATCTAACTTCAACTGCAACCTTTATTTCAAGAGTCAGTTTCGGGGCAGGCAAACACTTTGCCAATGTTTATATGCACTTTTTAGTGCACCAATCCCAGGCAACATCATCCTATTTCTTTTCCTGAATTAGAGAAGGTACAAAGCTGGACTTGCTCCTAGAACTTCATTAAGCTCAGTTTGGTTTTTGTTATGATTTTACTCAATTTATTTTGCTGTAAAAGACAATTACAGAGAGAGAATATGCTTAGTGTATCTGGGAAATGTAAAATTGCAGCTGCTTGAAATAAGAATGGACAACAGCAGTTTAAAAGAGGGAAGGAAGAAAGACTGATGCCACAGGGCATTTAGCTCTGAAGTGCATCCCAAAGCAGCAAGTAAAAGCAATGGTGATGGCTGCAGAACACCAGTTACTATTACAGCTCTGTAATTCCTTCAGGGAACACTGACTACTAATGTGAATGAAGTGATCTTCAGTATGCCCTTCAATAGAGATTAAGCTTCCAACTCTTACCTTAGTTGTTCGAGAAACACAGTCAAGGACCAGCATCCCTGATCACTGCCAGAAGATAGACCTCTGTGGGGGGGGGGTTAACCCAGACATGGCAAGGCTCATGCCACAGATATTTTGACTAGTTTTTTTGAACCGTCTTCAAAACTGATGTTGAGAATTATTTACAGCTTTGTACTAGAACCTTCATAAATTGGCACAGTTTGGGCAGGCTCAGGTCAATGGTTTCTTTTCTCTGTTTCTACACATGAAAGTTGTCTGGGAGGAAGCCCAGATGGTGGCAATAGGCAAATTCCTGGTGGAAAAGACACTTGTCCAGGCAACAAGGAAAGGGGAGCCGTACTGAAGTGCTTTTTTGTCCATGCAACTGCCACTGATCTGCAAATGCAGCTGATCTGTTCCATTTTCTGTTCCTGCTTTGGTCTCAGGCAGACAATCTCAGCTATTTACAAATGGTTACTTTTAGTGTGACTTACTATCTAATCATCTGATCTTTAAAAGAAGGAAAGGACTCCTTTCTTGGCTTTTAACAGGAGCAGTAATAAACATATTTCATTTAAAAGAGAGGAAAGAGGTCATTCACAGCAGCATCATCACAGGGATGAAGAAAGAATTTAACCATTTTGATCTTTTGAGAAATGTTCTTTCAGCTGGCTTCACTGCTGAGATAGATGAATGAGACATGGCATAGGGAACTAAATGAACTGAGGTGAAGGATTAGAAAAGACAAATTATAATTATAGGAAGGATTCCATGTTTAAACAGAGATAAAAGGGTAGAACACAAGGGTATTTCCACAGGCTAGGCTTAGCCTAGAAAGGGCTAGTGTCCTTACAACTTACTGGGCAAAGACACTAAAACCGACCAAAGTCCTGCTGAAGACAGACAGTAATTTTTGTCTGCACTGAGAGCAGAGGAGTTTCACTTTACTCCACAGGCCAAAACCAGTTTCTGAGAATACATTTGTCTCCCCTCCACATGTACAGGAGAAAGAAAATGATAAAAAAGACTTGCTAAAGGACAGATGAATGCATCATCATAGTCTTGATGAAAGAGGAAAGGAAAAGGTCACTGGAAGGAAAGGTAAAATAATAAACCAAAACCTAATTTTGTAATGAAATTAGTATGACAAATGAATAGCTGATCTTAGATAAAGCACCATCACATAACTCCACAACATGGAAACTGGTAGCTATGATTACAAGTCACCCAAAACATCACTCTTGATTTCATTTCTGACTGGAAGCAGGAAGAAAACCAGCACACATTCCTCATGGTCCCTACACAAGCCTGCTCTCCCAAGCTTAAGCTAACTTATTCTTGCCCATGTCCTTCCCCCAAGAACAGCAGAGGGCCACCTTATCCCCTGATACTCCCTTGCTGTGTTCTGTGACAATCAAGCAGACCTGTCTCAAGCTGACAACAGGCCTATTTCTCAGAGGAAAAGGAACTTGGACTCCTCAGACACACCCATCACTAACAGCCCCACTGGCATTGAACAACCTCTTATTCAGCTGCTTTAATTTAGAGTGGGGCTACATCTGGGAATGAAGAAGCATTCTGTGCCAAGCCAGCTAACTTTTTCAGTAAATTTTCCTAAAAATCAGCAAAGCTTTCATTTTCACGTCTTTCACTTCTACCATTGATAGCAACGACAGTATTAGAATCATAGAATAATAGAATAGTTAGGGTTGGAAAGGACCTTAAGATCATCAAGTTCCAACCCCCCTGCCATGGGCAGGGACACCTGGCTCTAAACCGTATCACCCAAGGCCTCGTCCAACCTGGCCTTGAACACTGCCAGGGATGGAGCATTCACAACCTCCCTGGGGAACCTATTCCAGTGCCTCACCACCCTCACAGGAAATAATTTCCTCCTTATATCCAATCTAAACTTCCCCTGTTTAAGTTTTAACCCATTACCCCTTGTCCTATCACTACAGTCCCTAATAAACAGTCCATCCCCAGCATCCCTATATGCCCTCTTCAGATACTGGAAGGCTGCTATGAGGTCTCCACGCAACCTTCTCTTCTCCAGGCTGAACAGCCCCAACTTTCTCAGCCAATCTTCGTATGGGAGGCGCTCCAGTCCCCTGATCACCCTCGTGGCCCTCCTCTGGACTTGTTCCAACAGATCCATGGCCTTTTTATGTTGAGGACACCAGAACTGTACACAATACCCCAAGTGAGGTCTCACGAGAGCCCTCAGAGTAGAGGGATAAGATCACCTCCTTCAACCTGCTGGTCACACTCCTTTTGATGCAGCCCAGGATACAGTTGGCTTTCTGGGCTGCAAGCGCACGCTGAAGCTGGCTCATGTTCATTTTCTCATCCACCAGCACCCCCAGGTCCTTCTCCACAGGGCTGCTCTGAATCTCTTCTCTGCCCAGCCTGTAGCTGTGTCTGGGATTGCTCCCACCCAGGTGTAGGACCTTGCACTTGGCATGGTTAAACCTCATGAGGTTGGCATCAGCCCATCTCACAAGCGTGTCAAGGTCCCTCTAGATGGCATTCCTTCCCTCCAGTGTATCAACCGAACCACACAGCTTGGTGTCATTGGCAAACTTGCTGAGGGCGCACTCAATCCCACTGTCCATATCACCAACAAAGATGTTGAACAAGACTGGTCCCAGCACTGATCCCTGAGGGACACCACTCGTTACAGGTCTCCAGCCAGTCACTGAGCCATTGACCACAACTCTTTGTGTGAGGCCCTCCAGCCAGTTCTTTATCCACCAAGTGGTCCATTCATCAAATTGATGGCTCTCCAATTCAGAGACAAGGATGTCATGTGGGACAGTGTCGAACACTTTACACAAATCCAGGTAGATGACATCACCTGCTTTACCGCTGTCCATCAGTTCTGTAGCCCCATCATAGAAGGCCACCAAATTGGTCAGGCAGGATTTCCCCTTAGTGAAGCCATGCTGGCTGTCACCAAGCACCTTGTTGTTTTTCATGTGCCTTAGCATGCCTTCCAGGAGAATCTGATCCAAGCTTTTGCCAGGCACAGAGGTGAGGCTGACTGGTCTGTAATTCCCTGGCTCATCCATTTTCCCCTTCTTGAAAATGGGGGTTGTATTTCCATTTTCCAGTCATCGGAAGCTTCACCTGACTGCCATGATTTTTCAAATATGATGGACAGTGGCTTAGCAACTTCATTCGCCAGCTCCTTCAGGACCCGTGGATGGATTTCATCAGGACCCACGGACTGGTGCATGTTCAAGTTCTTAAGAAGGTCTCGAACCAGATCCTCTGCTACAGTGGGCCCAAGGTCTTCATTCTCACAGTCCCTGCGTCTGCCTTCCAAGACATGGGTGGTGTGCTCAGAGCCTTTGCCAGTGAAGACCGAGGTAAAGAAGTCATTCAGAACCTCAGCTTTCTCCCAGTCCTGCGAATCCTGCATAGCCAGTTCTACTGAGAGCTTCCTGAGGGGGCCTACGTTCTCCCTAGTCTGTTTTTTTATTTGCTATGTACCTGTAGAATCCCTTCCTGTTGTCTTTAATATTCCTAGCCAAGTTTAGTTCTAACTGGGCCTTAGCTTGCCTAACCTGGTCCGTAGCTTCCCAGACAACACCCCTGTACTCTTCCCAGGCCACCTGTCCTTGCTTCCATCTTTTATAAGACTCTTTTTTCACTTGAATTTTTCTCAGCAGCTCCTTATCCATCCAAGGAGGTCTCCTGGCCCTCCTGCTGCACTTCCTTCTGGTTGGGATGCAACACTCCTGAGCCTGTAGCAGGTGATCCTTGAAGACCAGCCAAGAGTCCTGAGTCCCCCTGCCCTCTAGGGCTATATCCCATGGAACCTTACTAAGCAGGCTCCTGAAGAGGCCAAAGTCTGCTCTCTTGAATTCCATGGGAGTGAGCTCGCTGCACACACTTCTCACTGTCCTGAGGATCTCAAACTCAACCATCTCGTGGTCGCTGCATCCAAGGCTGCCCTGGAGCGTCACATTTTCAATGAGCCCTTCCCTGTTGGTGAGCACAAGGTCAAGCATGGCACCTCTTCTTGTTGGTTCCCCTATTACTTGCAGGAGAAAGTTGTCTTCCACACAATCGAGGAACCTCCTGGATTGCTTGTGCCGGGCGGTACCATCATTCCAACAGATGTCAGGGTGGTTGAATTCATCCATGAGAACAAGGGCCTGCGAGCATGAGGCTGTTCCTATCTGTCTATAGAGTGCTTCATCCGCAGGCTCTCCTTGATCAGGCGGTCTGTAACAGACCCCCACAGTAATGTCTCCCATTGCTGTTTTCCCTTTAACCGTGACCCACAAACTCTCTGTTAACTGCTCACCCATCCCCAGACAGAGTTCCATACTCTCCAGCCTATCCCTAACATAAAACACAACTCCCCCTCCGTGCCTGCCAGGCCTGTCTTTTCTAAAGAGCCTGTGACCTTGCATTCCAACACTCCAGTCATAAGAGCAATCCCACCATGTTTCTGCGATGCCTCTTATATTATACCCCCGTAGATGCGCACACATCTCTTAATTCCCCGTTTGTTCCCCATGCTACGGGCATCTGTATAGAGGCATCTGAGCCGAGCTCCAAATGAAGCCGGCTCATTGGCTGGGGTGGCTGGAATATATCTACATTGCTCTGAGCATTTATTATAGATGCTGGCAACTGACTGGGTGTGTTGGGATGGAATGATGCCCCCTCCCCCAACACATCTACTTTAAAGCCTCCTTGACCAGTGTGGCAAGCCTCCTACCAAACTGCTCTGCTGACCAGCTCCACCAGCCCCCACTAGACCTGGCCTACAAACTTGGGTCACATGTTCAAAACACCCAAATCTTCTTGATAACGCCTCAAACTCTTAAAAAAATTGACATGGAATTTTGAAAAGTTGTTGACTCCCAGTCAGATTAGTTAAGGAGAAACTGACAAGCAGAAGCTGCCAAAAGCAAACACTTTGGTAAGGAAAGAGAGAAGTATCAGACGAAGCCCCAGCAGCAGAGGAGCTTGAAGAACCTTAACTTAGCTCACTGCTTATGCAAAAAGAGGTGAGAAAAGTTCATGCTGTGGTTTTCTGACACTTGAGTGAGCACTGGAATTTGAATGCAACGGAAAAAGAGCAATAGCCCAGGCAAGTAACTTCTAGTTAGGGAAAAAAGCATGGGTTCTGACCAGAGCACAACACAGTGTGAACATGCCACAGCATGCTTGGTGCTGCATCCCTTTGATAGACAAATGGACAGACTGGGCAGGGAAGGCATTTAGTTAATTGGGACTCTCAGAAAGAAGCAGTAATTGCTATTTACTGTGGCAAGAAAGAGGGGATGTATATACCACTTGCACTTCCGCAGTTGTTCATATCACAGGAAAAATTTCCCATCTGTTCTTGAGAAGGTACAAAACCCTAATATTTGTGATACCTTATATATGACTCAGAAGAGATGGATGGATCCCATCTGCTCAGAAGACCGTACTACATCAACAGGTTTCTGCTGAACACAAGATAACACGTGTCCAAGTCTTTTGGTTTCTAAGGGACCACACCACTAATGAGGTTTTGATGACAGGAAAAATGGGGTTCCGGCAAGAAGGGGTTCTGTTTAGCCTTAGGTAAAAATCAAATGCCTTAAGCCAGTCAACCACAATCCACTTCAGCTCTTGCTTTCTTTCACCTGGACTAATGCTGCCAGAACACAAGAGAAAATCAGTACCAGCCATCTACAGAAAAGCAGTAGGGACAGATATGCATCATGTGTAGATCTATTTAAAAACAGTCTCCCCAAGGCACTAACGTCTGTCATAACCTTAAATCTACCACTGAGGAATATAAATGGATAAAACAATTTTAATTAGTCAAAAGCTGCTTTTTTAATGCTCCTGATCCAAAGAACGAAGCAAAAGCTGATCAAGAATGTATCAGTTGTACAATCTTATAAACCCAGGGAAAAAGGCCAAGCAGGAAGTAAGCAGTTTAATAGAACATGTAGATTGAGTCTCAGCTCATTTACAGAAAACCTGCCTTGGCAAGTTTTCTGGGAACAAAAATGCATTTCCTTACAGAGCTCCAAGTAAACCGTAATTATTAGCCAGAATGCAAATTTAAAGTCAATCTGAAGTCCAACCATCACCTTCCCCTGACATGTAGGTACAACAAATACTGTACGCTCTTAAAACTTTCTAATAGTTCGTATGGGAAGATCATGGGCATTTGAAAGGGCATACATGATCCACGCACACTCATGCTTGGGTGTCCCGTGGGAAACTACACCTTCCTGAGCAGGGCTTCAGATGGAGCCAGGTACCACACTACCTACCCCTGCAAAAGGACAACCTCAGAAACAGGGGCTCCTGAGTTTAGAAGCTGTTAAGTGGCTGGCTTGAATTTTATGCTCCAAGAAAATCACCCTTCACACCTTCTCCTCAAATGCACATTTTCTCCCTTTTTATTTTGCCCTTACAGATGCATCCGAAATTCACCTCAGCAAAAGTCTCTAAAGCAAAACTGGGGCTAGTTCAGGCTGTGAAAGACAGCACAAAAGGGGTAATGAAATGCTACTAGTCCTGTTTTTATCAGCCCCTTCATTTCACACGTTCCTTTCAATTTCTTTTCTTTTGTTGGTACCTTGTTTGCTGGTTTGTGAAGGAGCAAAACTGGAGCTGGAACTGGAGCTGGAACTGGCAGGACTCGGTTGTTCAGACTAAAAAGAAAAAAAAAAAAAGAAAATAAGTAACATTGTAAGAAACATTTCTGCCTTAAACTCTTATTGGTAGTTACCACCTAAGGCATGCTGTCAAGTTAAAATACGATCTACGGAACAGAATAATACACAAAAATATTTATTTCAGGTGTCAGTGAGGCAAACATTGTGAAAATTGCTACGTACTCAACATACGTACACACTATTACATCATGTCTAGTTCTTCAGTAAAGCCAGTATCTTAAAAGATTCCAGCACCTAGTCTGAAAGGCTATAGAGCATGAGAGCCTAAATGAGTTTATGACAGACTTAAGGCTCTGGTGTCCTCATCATACTGCAGTTGCATCATTTTCCAAATTAGTAAGGATGTAGTAGAATCAAGAAACAGAAGACCTGTGCAGACCACATTAAATGCCAAAAAACCTCAGTGTTCTTTCTCCCTTTCAAAACAAGTAAGATGAGGATTCAAATTAAACTTTGCTGCTGCTATTGCATTTCGCATTCCAACACCCTTCATATGTATTAAGGCCCTACAGATTATACTAGAGACTGAACCAGAAAGATTGCCTTCTTACACAGAAAAATTACCTGGAGCCCACAGACTACAAAAGAGAACTACATTTTTAAAACAGAGTTGTTACAACCAGTTTATATTATTTAACAAGCAGTCCTATAAACTGTTTCTCCACTATTGCTTAAAATGTATAAATTTCTCTCCAAAATTCTATAATGTTACTTAGAAAGAACTATTACTTTGTATAAAAAAAAATCCATATAATTTTTCTTATAATAGTGGTTATGGCTTACAGGGGATGTACTGAGAAATCTTGCTTCTTGCTGCCATGTTGCGTTATCTCCAAAACTTTTTTTTCTGTCTCACAGGTTCTCAGGCACAGGGGATGCCAACAGAGAACATAAAGCAAGAAAGAAGTGTCCACACAGAAGGAAAGGTGAAAATCAGGTTAGGAAGTAACACTCTAAAATTCTACGATTGGAAAGAAATCCTGCATACACTTAAAATTCTATGCAAATGTGTTATTGTGACAAGTTATCCAGGCTAACAAAAGTGTTCTGACTCTCCTTGTCTGTACAATACTACCCATGATTAAGTCGGAACCAAGCTGCTCTCAAAAATAAGAGCAGTAATTTCCAGTCACTGTGAAACAGTTTTCAGGCACACAAGCTACCTTAACCTAAGTTGCTCTTCCTCCATAAATCAGTCTATTGTTGCCTTTCATAATGAGCAGACAGTTTTACAGCCTCTTACCGCCTTTCCTCACAATGAGAGATGCCTATCTGGGCAACAGAATGCTTGAGAAAAACACCATTAACATCTGCTCTCCTCAAATCAACACCATCTCCAGCTCTCTCACACACACAGTCAAAATACAAACACTGGACCTGACTATATGGGTATACAGTGAACCAAGCCTGTGCAAGAAAAGACAACCCAACCAACAACAGAACTGATTTCTGAGTACTGAGAGATTCTTAAATGGCCCACAGCATCAGACCTTTTTGGAAGGCATTACAGCAACACTTGACACTGCCTTAAAAATCAAGTTACTCTGAAAAAAAAATTATATATTTTTTTCAAAGCCTGAACTTCGTAAAACTATAAGATTTCTAGCAGCAAAATAATCACGATGATATGAAACAGAATGCACTGATGAATAATAAGAGTCAATGTAAACTTTAAGGACATCACCATTCTGGAAACTAATTTCACTCTTTCAGCTTCAGGTTACTCTTAAAACATCTGGTTTACCTGTCACTTTCTGGTTTTTGCAGAAAAATGATTAGCTGAAAACCATCCCTGCAGATTTCCATTAGCTGTGTTTTTTCTTTTTTAATTGAACCATGAACTTTAACTTCTGTAAAGTCGATTTACTTGAAGTAGCAAACACTAGAAAACTATGATAGTCAGTTCAAAATACTTGAAGAAGTGCTAAAACTGTAGGGGGTGGGTAAATAAACATCACACAGTGCAGAGATATTTGTCACTATCAAAACTTCACTACTTTCTTTTTGAACCGGTTTACTGGAAAAGAAAAAGGCTTGGTCTCATTCACACTACAAGGCATGCAAACATCAGTGGAATTCCTCCATGACAAAATTCTCTCTCAACATTAACTAATTGAGAAAGGATAACAAGAAGGAAGGGATATGAATACACATAAAGTTTTAATGCTTTCTGGAAAAATTTTGCTCTGCTTTAGCAAGATCACTTTGAGAAGCCAAACCATAGAAAGTCCCAGTGAAATACAAATGATCATCTATACTCTTTTCTAAAAAGGTTCTTAATGCTTTTTAAAACAATTTACATTATTTACTTAAACAACCCTCTCTGAAAATCTATTCCAAGAAATACAGATTAGCCTAAGTGTTGAAATTGCTAAGTACTGGAAATTAAACCTAGCTTTTTTGACTATGGTAAATCTGGGGTGAGAGCACATCCAGAGGAAGCAGCTACTTTTAACATAAGCATGAACATCATTAACAGAAGAGACTTGCCTTTTTAGAAGGTACTAAAAATAGGCTTTCCATATATGAATATGGGTTAGTGCCAATAGCATCAACGCTTCTAGTTACCAGAGGCTCTCTTTTGTCACTTAAGCAATGCTTTTTGACAGTTTTACAGGCTGCTATCTCAAGTACTTTGGTATTATGGCTTTATTCACTTGGGCTTTCTGCTCTTACCCACTGATTACTAATCACCAAACAGATTTTTTTTTTAATGGATCTGAAATTAGCTACTGGGTGTCTTTCACAACAATAAAAGTGTAAGACAGTACCAGTGAAGAGTTTCTCTCCTATGTCCTTTTCCTGTTTTACTAGCTTTCTCTTCCTGCAGACAACCAAATGAGATTTGACCCAAGCTGTTCATTAGTGCAACAGAATCAGAATCATTTAGGTTGGAAAAAACCTTTAGGATCATCAAGTCCAATTGTAACACTGACGCTACCAAGCCCATGACCAAGCTATGTTAAGTGCCACATCTACATGCATTTTAAATACCTCCAGGGATGGTCACTCAGCCACTTCCCTGGGCAGCCAATTCCGGTGCTTGACAAGCCTCTCGGTGAGGAAATTTTGGCTAATATCCAATCTGAACCTCCCCTGGTGCAACTTGAGGCCATTTCCTCTTATCACTTGTTACTTGGGAGAAGAGACCCACACTCACCTTACTATAACCCCATTCCAGGTAGCTGTAGAAAGTGATAATGACCCAACATGATTTTCTGAATTCTTAGACAGTCTGAGCAATTTTACTGCTCTCACACAGATGCACTGGAAACACGGACTTCCTGGTTGTAGGAATCTTCGCTTTGAACTGTTTGGCAAGAAAAGCGACTCTTCTTTGGCTCAAGTTTTCCCTGAAAAGAGACTTTTTTCAACAGTTCTAAATCACTTGTCCTCTGTCATTCCCAAACTTGTCTGCTCTTACAAGTAGTACAACTTACTCTTGAGCTGCAAACAACTTTCAGGCAAACTCACCTGTTTATGACACAGAGATATAATAGAGCTAGCTTTGTATATTTCATGATTGGTTCAAACAACTTCTCCTAAAAATAAACCCCATCGTTTCAAGCTCCTGATTCAGATTTGGAAAAAGAAAACATCTGTATGTGGGTGAGAATGTCTTCTCTTGCCTTCTCCTGAACAGTTTTTAAAGGAAGCTCACATACTGTTTCCTGAAATAAAATTTAAATGGTATAGTAATATCCCATTTCATATCAGCCATTTTACATATTCCTTGCCTTTATGCACAATAGTCTTAAAAGATTTATGTTTCCCTGTGCCATACATACGAGAAAGTCTATCCACTTAAAACTGCTTATAGCAATAGCTTTCTCTGAAGTTAGCTTCACATGGAGGAATATTTTTCCCCAGGACAAAACTTCTTCTCCAGCAGAACACCTGTACTCATGACTTCTACAGACTCCTAAGTGCACTGTCAGTGACCACTGCCTCAGCCTTTAGCAAAGTAATCCAACCCATCTGCAGTCCAAAGGACAGAACAGCCCCACCTCATCCACCAAATGCACACATCTGTCACTGCAAAGGGGAGTGACCATGGTACCACGAGGTGCCTGCACCCAGCCGAAATTCTGTATCCCCACATATCTGGTCAAACTGCTACACTAGCAGCTAACTTCCACAGCAGGGTAAAACTTTATTTTAACTACCCACAAAATATAGTGTTTTTCTTTTTTTAGACTGAAGAACAGAGTTATGGGGTGGGAACTAAAATTATTTTCTTGTAGAAATGGAAATATTTATTCATAACAACATTTAAAGAACTAAACAATTATTTAGAGAAGTAATTTAAGATCAAGGAGATGTGAAATTTAAACAAGACATTCCAGATCATTGATTTTTAAGAAGAGGCAGGGACAGTCACCTGGTAGACCTAAGGTACTGATACAGTTAGCTGCCTTTACTATTTATAGTAATTTTAAACAAAAATTTCACACCATTGATGGAGATGAGGTTATTTGTTGATTAAGTGACTCTCCATCTGGCACCTGAGCAAGTCCACTGGCTTTGACGGTGTCCTGGGTTTAGCAGTAGCAGTCATTTTTCTCCTTCTTGGTAGCTGGTGCAGTGCTGTGTTTTGACTTTCGGGATGGGAACAAAGCTTTCTTGGGTGCAGTGGGGTTCTAGAGACTGCACATCCCAAATTACAGTTTGATTGTAAGCCCTCTCTATTATGTGACCCGTAAGAAGAATGATCTTAAATGGGGACCTGAGCAACAAGCCTTTGAGCAAATTAAACGCAAGACAGTTCATGCAGTGGCCCTTGGACCAGTTCGAACTGGGTCAGATGTAAAAAATGTACTCTACACCTCAGCTGGGGAGAATGGCCCCACCTGGAGCCTCTGGCAGAAAGCTCCAGGGGAGACTCGAGGTCGACCCCTTGGCTTTTGGAGTCGGGGATACAAAGGATCCGAGGTAAGCTATACCCCAACTGAGAAAGAGATACTGGCAGCCTATGA